ATTTATTCTTTTTACTTTTATTATTTTAATTACTGGGAGATTTTCTAGGGTCACTTGTCTTATTTGTTTGCTGTAGGAAGAGCAAAAAAAACCCAGCAATATCATTTCAGTAGCAGTGTACTAAGTTTCAAGTCAACAATTTGTTGAAATTCCATTTTTATTTTTTGTATAAGAAAGTCTTAAAAATGTTTCTGCAGCCTGCAACTCAAGTAATCCCTTGTCTATTTTTAGTGACTTAAATCCCCGGCTTCAGCAATGCTCTGATGGTTAGAATAAGGAGATTGTTAAAGTGTGGAGGATTAGCCAGAAGCATTGTATAACAAAGCAGTACACTTCCTACTGATAAGAGAAAGCGAGAGAAGAGGAATTCGTTACAATAGAAATGTTTTATTTTCATCACAAAATATAGTCATGATTTTTTTAATAGAGTGAATGTATTTTCTGTCTGGTTTCAGATGCCATACTATAGTCTATTTACTATAAGTTTTATATTTCATTCACTTTGTCTGGGCAAATAAAAGTCTGGAAAATAAATATGCTAAATATTACATGTTAAATATACACACTGATTAACCTCTGCATATCTGTCACGCTGAATTTTATTAAATATAGGTACAGTTGGTAATGGCGCAATATGGCAAGAACGTTCCTTAGAAAATAGTGTTACCTGCAGGACTCGTATTAGAAATTCGGGATCTGTACTAATATAATATTCCTATTCTCATGGCTCTGGAACATCTCTTATCATAACTCTAAAACCAATTTAGATTCTACCTCTTTAACCCTCAATTTCATATCCCACCTTTATCTCTACCTCCAACTGGCTTAAAGTCAGTCTGTGCTCAGTTAATCACCTTCTGCTTGAAGCCTATGTTGACATCCTTTCCAAAAATATTTCCTTCATGAGAAATAGTTTCATAGCAGTGGACTCCAATAGTGGTTGTGCTGCTTTACATGTGTACCTCAGTTCTTTGGGTACAGCTACATTGATGCAAAATCTGAGAATATTTAAATACAGAACCATCAGGGATCTTTGCCATAATGTGGTTCTGATCTGACGCTCTGTAGTGTGTATTAGGTATTTTTTTTGTCCAGTTTTACATTTAAGGGGCACTGTAGGTACCATAACTACGTAATCTCTTTGAATTGGTTTTAGTATCTGGAATCCCCTGGAACCATCCTTCCATTCAGTGTTAATCCATTTATAATGTTGTAATGCGTAATACGATTCCCAGCAGTCCACCCCCTCTGTGCTGCTCTAGCTAATGAGGAAATATTATCCAGAGCAGCAGTGTGTTGAGGAGATTTTATGAACTTTTAGCCTATCACAGGTTAGTGCGCATGCACAGCAAAAACTATTTTTCCCCCCACTCACTGTTTTTTCCAACTTATGCCCTTGTTTTTTTACCCTTCTCTTATTTTTCACTGCTATTTGTCCTTTCTTTTTTAAACTCAACTTTTCGTCATTTGTGATCCTTTCCTATGTCTTCATTTTCTTGTTTTCCTACTCTTCACATCTCCCATTGACCATTTTCATGTGCTAACAATTGACTCTTCAACTGGAGGCTTTATCTGGAGATCTTAAAATGAAGAGGACATGATGGACCTGTTGTTACAGGCAAGGTGTAATTAGTACCTTAAAAATAAATTACACATTTGTTCAATAGCTAGAAAGAAAAATTATTATTATTGGAAACAAGAATACAAAAAAAAAAAAAAATGCTTGAGCCTGAAGCCGAAATCATGTATCATGTATCTGGCTTAAGGCCAAGACATTGTAGAATTTTTTTTGTTTTATTGTTCATAAAATCCTTAATTAATAATTTGAAGTTCCCACCCTTTTTTAAAATGTGGACTTTCAACTTTTGACTATTTGTTTGAAGTGAGCAGTCCTTCATACCACGGTGTACCAGGTTAGACTTTCGCTATTTCTTATGCCTAGAGTGCCACACCATATTGCTATTGATGATTTATGCAATATAGAATAATGGATACATTAGGATAGGGGGTTTCTACTCTAAATAAATGTACAATTTGACTAAGAATATAGGCATACAGATAAAACATGGAGCCCTCATTAGAAAGAGTACACTGTCACAGAGCACATTACTCCAAGTGTGTCCTTGACTTGCTTCTGAGTGAAAAATGGTTAAATAAATACTATTTTTCTCTTTTAAACTAAAAATAATGCTAAATAATCCACCAACATCACAAACACTTAACTCCAGTATCAAAAGCTGCCACCAGTAAGGACATTTTGTCCCCCAACCACATTAGATTAGAAACCCAGAAACACAGGTTATCAAAACATCTTATTAAACATACTTTTAAATAGGCATCTACAGGTAAGTTGGTACTCACATTTCTAGTATAGTAATTGTATCTTATGTCCATAGGAGTACATATAGGGAAACTGGCAACTCACCCAAACTGGATTGACTCTCAGAGAAGCATATCACTAATTTACAGTTTCTATACCTGTCACTGCTCCTGCAATATACCAAGGGTAGTTGGTAATTTATAGAGGGAACCCTGTAGCCTTGGGCCATGCTGCAAAAATAAATAGAGCACATGCTGACAATCTGTTAGGGACCAGAAACCAGACAAAGACAGAACGTAGATGCAAAACACCTTTATAAAAAAAATAGCAAAAATGAAATAAGCCAAAGTCCAGGAGGCAAGCACGGATCAGGCACCAAGCAGGTAGGTAGACGAGCCGGAATCAGGAGAACAGAGAGCAGTGGAGTCAGGAACAAGGCCAGAAGTCATGAACCAGGAATTTACAGGAAACAGGGAGTCTTTTAGGAAACCACCCAAGGGCAAGGAGGTACTGGGACTTGTTGCTTAAATAGGCTGCACTGATTAGCAGCAGGGCTGGTTACTACAATCAGGTAAATAACTGTGGCTACATTAATGAAGGAGCTGTTCATTAAAATCAGCTGAATAGCTCAGACAAAAAGTAAGGAAGGGTTACTGTGTAAAACAGCAAAGAAAAACAATCAAAGTGATTGGCACAGAGATACAAAGGGAGAACATAGTTTAAAAGATTTGGCCCCTCGCCTTTAACTTTGATTACGGCACGCATTCGCTGTGGCATTGTTTCAATAAGTTTCTGCAATGTCACAAGATTTATTTCCGTCCATAATAAATTTTTGCATAAATTTTTTACCAAGATCGTGTATTGATGATGGGAGAGTCGAACCACTGCGCATAGCCTTCTCCAGCTAGGGGGGATGGATTAATTATGGGGAGTGGATTAATTAGTGTGTATTAATTATGGGGGATGTATTAATTATGGGGGGTGTATATTAATTATGGGGTGTATTAATTATGGGGGGTGGATTAATTAAGGGGGAATTAATTATGGGTGGGCGGATTAATTAGGGGGGGTGGATTAATTATGGGGGTGTATTAATTAAGTGGGGTGTATTAATTAAGGGGGGATGGATTAATTATGGGGGGTGGATTAATTAGTGTGGATTAATTATGGTGGAGTGGATTAATTAAGGGGGTGGATTAATTAAGGGTGTGTGTATCAATTAAGGGGGGTGGATTAATTAAGGGTGTGTGGATGAATTAGTGTGGATTAATTAAGGGGTATGAATTAATTAAGGGTTATGGTTTAATTAAGGAGTGTGGATTCATTAGAAAACCTTTAACATTTTTTACAGGTTTTTTTTTTTTTTGTGGGGGGGTGGGGGGGGTGCCAAGCACAGGATCCGCCCCGGGTGCCAAATGCTCTAGGTACGCCCCTGAGCTATCTGTATGACATTTTGAGACCTTCAGATACCTAGGGATACACTGATTTTCTTATAAGATTTGTGTTCTCTGCTCTACATTAAACAATTTGTCAAGTGACTGTAGTCCAATAATAGGAGAAGGGTTTGTGCAATTTTGTTTACACTATTCTCTTATGTAATGTTATGTGCTCTATATTTTTTATAAAACTCACTTGTAATCTTATGTGTTTTTTCTCATCTTAGGTGGGACTCGGGATGTTCATTGCTGAAAATACTATCAGCTACTGCAACGTAGAATGTAGTTGCTGAATGTATTAAATAAGCATCGAGTGCTTTCAGAAATCAAGGGGGATAGTTAGTCTCCCTTTTAAGACAGGTTAAAAAAAGAGCACTGACAACACAGATGACCACAGATATTCAGAAGCTGGATTTCCCCAGATATGCCAGAGGTAAAGAAGAGGAACCCCGCACAAGCTCAGATGTCTCATGTGGGATATGAAAAGCTCTACTCCGTAGTGGGTTCTCTCAAACAAGGAATTTTAAAATTCAATCCTATCCTTTCATCTACAGCTAAATGGAATGTTGGCTGTAATTTACAAAGAGCTAAAGATACAGATAAATAAATTTAATCACAGCCTGCACAGGAAAGAAAAATGATTTGTAGTTCTCAGTGTTCCTACTGAAGCTAGTTTGGTGCCAAATGGGTGTTGCCAACTTTAAAAGTGTTGGCAGCTTTTTGTATTCATTCTGCCAATATTATAGAAGATCAGTTGCTGAATCCTTCCTAGGCTCAGCTAAATAGTTATTAACTATGGTCTAAGAATTAGCTTAGTCAAAAACATTAGTCTCAAAGGGTCTGATTTATAATGTCAAGCTGAGCTAGTCTGCTGTCCGCAGCTATTAATGAAAAGCTTTTACAGCATAGCTGCCATTAGTGTAATAATAATGCATATACAATTGAGGACATGCAATTCTTTCCATATGTTAAGGTGTATATTGCAAGCAAGAATCATCAATTACCCATTGAAAGAATACAGAAGGGTCCATAGAAATATATCTAAGGTAATAAAGGGCACACCGAGGACCTAGACATCTTCAAATCACATTCAAAGGGACATGCATGTGAGACCTATATACATGAGTCCAGGCAAACTTTCTGGTACAGACTGGCAATTGCCACGTTGGTCACCCTCAATTCCACACTTTGTATATGACATACCAACTGTAAAGGATTTCCTTGTATTAACCTGTGTTCATTTGGTTATTTCTTTTCCCTGCCATTTAAGTGACTTTGAAATATTCGTTTTATTTATGTGTTCGGAAAATTATTTGTTCTACCGAACAGAGACCACCCTGGGTAGCAATCAGAACTTAGAACACCAAGTAACCACACGAAAACCAAAAGTAATTGAGTGCTCCTAGGTGGCCGCCATTCGGCATACGAACACGTGGCGAGAACAAAGGATGGTGGCCATCTTAAATCTCCCGAACGCGGCCAGCGGGACTTACTCGTCGAGTGCCTGGAACAGTTTTCGGCATGGCACTCACACGAACAACCGGTCCTTATGGAAGTCCCGTTTGACCTATTTCCACTTGCAGTACCAGACGGGCGTTCGGGAATTCCAATCAACCGAACAAAGGGAGCAGTCCCATGTAACCAGCTGCAGTATAACTATGGTGGTTTTCATGTAATTCTGCATGAACGGAGACCGGCTCTTGCTACCAATTACATGGAACTCTAAATCGGATACAACTGCATGGCGAGCCGGTCAAACTTCCACACGATGCGACATGGAAACTACCGAACGGATTTTCGTGCAATTTGGATATGCTACTCCCAGTATCCTCAGCTACCCAGGAAGGTTTTTATGTTCATATGTCACGTAGAAAGTATATTTCTAAAAATGTTGAAAATTGTTAATGTTTCTGGCCAGCAGATAATTGAGTTTAGTATGTTGCTGAAACTCAATTATCTAGTATGGCCCAGAGGAGGAGCATGTACTATATAAATTGAATGCCTGTTGCTTCCAGTAAATCAGTCTTGTTCCAGCATTAAGCTTTGGCTCATGAGTGGATTATTTGGTGATACCAGCATTATTTTACCCTGTGAATTATTTTTGTTATTCTACTATTGGGAAAAAGGGAATACTAGACGGTGATACAGATTACTACCGTGACACCAACTCTGGCCAGTGAGGGACCCTGATACGGGAGACAGAGTGGCACCCCAGTTGCCCCTTACACTTAAGGGCATGGGAGGTTTATTCACCATAGCTCTCATCAGTTAGCAGTTAAGTTTTTATGTTAAAAAAACGTTATAACGCAACAGATATAAACTATTTAATGGTAACAGACAGGAAGCGAGCGGAGGGTTGTTGTGGCCTCATGCCTGGCTACTGAGTCACTGCCAGGGTCAGCAAGTGGCTCCTGTTTATGAATGTCTCAATGGACACCTTCTCCCTTTGATAAGCATGGCAACCCAGTCCTCAGGCCTGGCGGGATTGTCAGCCTGAAGCGTTCACCTCCCCTGTGAGATACAGGATCCGCACAAATGGTCTCGGTCTCACGGGGTGCTGCCCTCTTGCTCCTATAGTGTACTGCTGGTTGGCAGACAGCGAGGGGAGGGACAGGCCGGGGAGCAGAAGGCACATGGTTATGAATTTGGAAACTGCTGTTGCATGTATGTACCCAACTAAATAAGTGCTTGGCGGCTGTTCAGATGCATATGACTTCCTAAAAGACAGAGGACACACACAGTGTAATTTGCTACGGGGCACCTCCCAGTGCATTAAGCCCATGCCTGCACCACTTCATCTGGGCTCCCACCACTTCTCCGTCTATTCAACGACTTGATAAGGCCGACCACGACACCAGACCTTAATATATTAGGCTAGTCGAAGAGAAGATGTTCACACTAGGTAGAAGCCATACGCTTCTACCCCTATGATGCTTTATACCAGTGTCTAGCCATTTACTTGGCAACACTCACCTTTTTTCTCACCAGGTTTGATCTGTTACCCCTTCCTAGGACCCACGACAAATGTCCCTTGACAGCCGTGGAGTCTACTTTAAGGTTCTCCCCTTTCCCTACCCTGTTGTTCCGAACTGAGCGGGCGGCTCACATGATACACTAAATTGGATACAACCGTATGTAAGTGACTGGACAGACAACACCACAGATACACGAAGCCAGCAAAGGTTACTGACCGGACAGACAAGGGTCCATACGATCTGCTTGTCAAAGGTGGGAGGAGCGTACCCCATTGACATAGAGTACCGATGGCGTTCTTCCGATCATAAATGTGCTCAGTGTGACCCTCCATGAAAATTTGCTAACTTAATGTTAGAGGACTGAATATTCCAGTCAAGGCAAATATTGGGTAGATAATTAAAATCCCTGGGAGCAGATGTGGTATGTCTGCAGGAAACACACTATAGGACCAATGACCACGTACACAGTTGGCTAGCAGACTATCCTTACCAATACCATGCCACCACCCCCACTAAGTCTAAAGGAACCTCTATCCTAATTAGCAAACATGTAGCCTTCTCCTTACATCACCAAGAAACAGACCAGAATGGCAGATATATGATAATCACTGGACTGCTGAATAACGTCCTGTACACTATTGCAAATGTATATGCCCCACACACAAAACAAAAAGATTTTTACACACTATACTTGGCAAACTGTCCACTATAATCATTGGGGACTTTAATGTGATATTAGATCCTAAGCTAGATATAACCCTATCACGGCACAGTGCCAGCTACCAACAATTTAAGAGACCTCAAAACATTGCTCAACACACATCACTACTATGACGTTTGTAGACTTGCACACACTAACGAACGTACGTACACACACTTCTCCGCAGTTCACAACTCCTACTCTAGGATAGATGGGTTCGTCATTCTAGGCCCTGCCCTAGAACAAGTTGAAAAATGTGAGATAGGACCGATCACATGGGCTGCCCACATGCCTGTCACATTGGTACTCAAAGATCATTATGACTTCAAACATAGGAGCCTGTGAAGAATGAATGCCTCCCTACTAACTGACGCCACCTTCCAAAAGACCTGCAAACTGCACTACAACAGTACTTTAGGAAAAAATAATCCCAGGAGATATCGCACAGCTCCCTTTGGGTGGCACATAAGCCTGTGATTAGAGGTCTCTTGATTTAGTATTTTGATTTATTATTGGTATTAAAGGTGATAGACTTATAGCCATCAGGCTAATCACCAGGCCCAGATGGTTTTTACAACTCATACTATAAGACCTTTAAACATACATTAGCACCACATCTGGTAAACCTCTTCACGGAAGCCATAGCCACCCAATGAATGCCCAAAGAAATACTCCTTGCACATGTGGTGACCCTGCCCAAACCCAGCAAACCACCAACCCTCCTACAAAATCTTAGGCCAATTTCCCTTTTAAACTCAGATGCAAAACTATTTGCCAAACTCCTAGCCCTTCGAGCAATTCTTCCCCACTTTATACATAATGACCAAGTGGGTTTTGTGACTGGGTGCCAGGGCTCTGAGAACAAATGAAAAGTGATAGATATACTCAACAGCCTAAAACGGGGATGCACTCAGGAAGGAGGCTTGGTCCTCTCCCTCGACGTGGAGAAGGCCTTTGACTGACTCCATTGGCAATTCCTGGAGGCGGTCATGGTCAAATTCGGCATACCGGCTGGATTCCTCTCTGCTGTTCAAGCCTTATACCATTCACCAGCGGCAAAGATACTCAAATTGAGGGATCCCTTCATGATCTCGAATGGGACGAGACAAGCATGTCCACTGTCCACTGTCACCCGTACTATATGTGATGGCCCTGGAGTCATTAGCGGCCACTATACGAAACAATACAAATCGAATCTATTTGCGGACAATGTCCTACTGACATTGACCCAACCAGGTATATCCCTGCCTTCTCAAAAGAATTCACCTTCTCAAAGAATTCACTATCTACGGCCAGGTCTCTTATTACAAATTGAATGCAACAAAGACACAGGCCATGGGGATAGACATACCAAGTGAAACCATGCAATCCCTTTAGGCTGCCTTCAGCCTAAATTGAAGAACCGACTATGTCTCCTTCCTGAGTCTGAAAATTCCAAAAAACCTGAGAGACCTATTTAAACACAACTAGGAAAACATGCAAAAAGACATCACAAAAACACTCCAGTCATGGGAAGGCAAATACTTGTCATGAGTGGATAGATTAGCGGCAGTGAAGATGTCACTGCTACCCAAACTGCAGTACCTTTTCTGCACCTTACAGATTCCACTCCCTACAAATACTTAGAATCCATCCAACGTACGATTGTGTGATTTGTTTGGGCCAGCCACAGGATAAGGGTGGCCACCGCACTGTTGAGCAAGCCAGTTGAGAGGGGGCGCTGGGTCTACCCAACATGAAGTTATACTACAAAGCAGCCTTGCCTCTCATATTAATAGCCAGGGAGTGGAAAACAACAGGGGCTCCCACACAACTGCTCTGATACACACAAAGTTCGACTACGAAGCTTTGTCCCATAACCAAGTGACTCCTAAGAAACATGTCCTGGTGGCGCAGGGAAAATGGGAAGACTTTCTTCAGACCCTTACACTCGCCTGATTTGAAACATTAACGCATATTCCGGCTTGCCAATAATCACAAAGGAACACTGTCAGACCTTTAGATACCAGGCAGATGAGGCCCCCAGGGAGGAACTGACTGTTACTGAGACAATAATCCTCCATACAGATGCAGTAACTCAACATACCCTTTGCTGGCCTGACTAACATCCACAATAAGCCCACACACACCCGAACCCCCAAACCCTTTACCACCCCCCTTCAAGACGATATCTCGTACCAGTGACAGTTGTCCAGATACCGCACGCCAGGGTTACTCTCCCTAAAACACCAAAGGACAAAGAAGATATAGTGGGGTACCGGGGTCACACCAAGGACTATGGGATCAGGTGTGTAGCAAGCCCAGGGTGGGAATTCATGAACAATTTGTAAACAAACTGTAATTAAATTGAATGGCTTTCAATGTCTCTGTTTACAACCTGTCTCGAAATTTAAATTGCAATTGTATACAGCATATTTACCCCTGCCCATCTTCTTTTCTGTACCCCGTTCACACTTCTTCTAACCCTTCTTTCAAGGGAACGAAAAAAGAAAAATAATAAAAATTATTACATTGAAAAAAAAATAAGCTTGTGTATAAATGCTCATGCCCTTTGGTGTGTAAAGCCCAGACACGTCCTTGTTTCTGATATCATGTCAACACCAACGATGGGAGTAATTTCTCAATATAAACAATCTTAGATCCCAGAAACCTTGATGTCGTTACCTTGCTATCTGTAAAGTGTATATAAAAATATACATTATTTGAGGTATGGGTCATTTCTTTATTTAGACCTAAAGATGTTAGCTTTTTAGAAAAGGGTTCTTAAGGGTAATTCGTATGTGGGCCCTGTGCTCACTGTGCCTGG